GTATTTATTTTTTTATGTTTTATTTTAGTGCAATTGCACCTGGAGTTCCCCCTCAGGTGTTAAATAGTCGAGGTCTGTCCTTGTCTTTCGTCTCTTGACCCCTTCTGACCATTAACCTTGTCCTTGAACCAAACCTTGCCTTGAATCTCATTAAACTTCGAAAGAGTGATTTTGTTTTTCATCCTCCTAATTTTGTCTGACTCTTGTGAGTATTATTTTTTTACTGTGTTTCAAAGCCTTTTTTCCGTACTCGTTTCTGAGTGATTCGGATTTGTTACTTTTCTGAATCCATCCTCGTAGAGCGATCTTATTTTGTACATTGTTTCCACTCCTTGAGAATGTGCCCTGAGTTAATAAAACCTTTGTCTATTCAATCTCAGCATGTCGGTCCTGTTTTGAGCTGGCCCCAGACGAGGGGAGAGGCGGACTATTTAACCCATGAGGGGGAAGGGAACCCCAGGTGAACACAATCAGGGATCAGGAAGACGATTGGACTAACCCTAACCCATAAAAAATAAAAAAACATAAATAAATAAACACAAAATAATAATAATAATAATAACAATAATAATAATAATAATAAATAAAATGAATAAATAATTATTATTTTTTTAAGAAAAAAAAAGGAAGACAATTGGACAGGGTTACTTATCAAAATAAAACAGGATTGACAGTAATAAGATAAAATAAAATAAAAACACATGAAATGATGAGGCGGTTTGACAGAAAGTAAAACAGGACTCCTGAGCATCCCTTTTCATTCATCAGCTGCATGGAATATATATATATATATACATATAAAAGATATATATACCTGTATTTAAATAAAATAATCAAATCGTAACATTTGCTGCAGATTTGAAAATGGATTGTACACGATTAGATGTGAAAGTGAAAGACTCAAGAAATGGGTTTGTTCTCCTTTTTGCCAGTTGTGTATGAAAAAATTAATTTAAATTATTTTTTAAAAATGTAAAAAACAGAGAGTAAATGAGAGCAAAAAGTATTTTTGAGCCCCGGGACGCGTACAGACCTCCAGATGAGCGGACGTCCTCAGATTTCTGACTTTTTTGTCTCAACCAGAAACTGTAAACACGCTTCACATCCTCTTATTTCGGTCTGGGGCTCTAGAAGTTTCGTTTTCTGTGAAATAAAAATAAAATTTAAATGGAAAAAGTTCGTAAACTCCAGTTCCAAACTCTGGAACCGGAGGACGGCTGCTCCCCGGCTGGTTCCCCCCGGGAAAGGTAAAGGTTATCGGGTTTTGTACGACCCGCTTCAGGATTCGCTTCAAACTTCCTCAATCCAGGTTTCAGATTGTTTGGTCACGTGGTCGATGACGTCATCAGTGGGCGTCTCTCGCGTTGAAATCCAAAAACCTGCGCCAAAGTCTCAAACCGAACTCTCACTTCCTGATTTTTTTGCCTCCAGGCTGACGGGCGGTTGAGCCCACTGCGCATGCGCAGTGCATCCACGTGGTTTTCTTTGCTGAACAGTTTTGACAGACATGAAAACAGGATTTCTGAGGATTCGCAAAGAGTGGGGAGTGTCTTAATACACCATAAGAAGCAAAAACTAAACTAAAAATAACCAAAAATACATTAAAAAAATACACAAAAAAGCCAAAAGAAAGAGCTAAAATGACCACACATTCAAAAAGACGAAAAAAACAAAGCTAAAAATGACCAAAAATACACATAAAAAGCCAGAAAAAGAGCTATAATGGCCATACATAAAAAAACGAAAATACAAAGCTAAAAATGACAATAAACACACCAAAAAAGCCAATAATAGAGCTAAAATGACACACAAAAATTCACAAAAATGAAAAAAACAAAGCTAAAATTGACCAAAAATGCAACATAAATACACCAAAAGCCAAAAATAGAGCTAAAATGACCATACATTCACAAAAATTAAAAGAACAAAGCTAAAAATGACCTAAAATACAACAAAAACAAAAAATACAGCTAAAATGAACAAAATAGAGCCAAAAGTCATGTGTTTAACAGCAGCTAAAAGCTCCCAGAGTTCCCACAGTGGGTCAGAAACTGGATGAAGTGGACTGAACTGAACCCAGCAGCTCTGATGGAGGGACGGATCCTCCAGAGCTGGAGCTCCACGTTATGAAGCAGAGTGGGATCATCTGACAGAGAACGGAGCCAAAGGCAGCAGCAGCTTCCAGAGAAGAGCTTTGGGACGTCTCCAAGAAGCTGGAGAGCTTTTCCTGGAGGCTCAGAGATGGAGGAGGAAGCAGCTCAACGCAGAGAGAAAACTTTAAGCTGGTCCAAATCAACTCGTTTTTTGTTTTTTTCATACGTCAAATAAAGCATTTCCATTTACGTTTGCCCATATTTAGATATTTAGATGAAAGGTTGCACACACTTCCTGTTTTTCTGATCCTATGCAAACAAATGGCCGATGACTCAGGACTTTTGAGTCATGACACGCATCTCTTTACGAACTGAAACCCCCCCCCCCCTCAAATAAGGAAGAGACTGACGTGACCTTTAGAGAAACACTTCCTCATTATAAGTGGAATAAGCTGGATAGACGGCCTGTTTTCTGCCTCTTTGTTAACATTTTTTTATTTTTTTTCTCTTTTTCTCAGCGTTTTCGGAAGCAGGTATGCAGTTAGATTTGTAGAAATTAGACCAGTAGAAAGCTTTCATCTGCTCCTGATGGGCTGGATCCACCTCCCAGTTTTCTTTAAAAAAAATTAATCACAGAGGAACCTCTACATACTAATTTAATTTGTTCCTGGACCGACTTCGAATGTTAAAATATGCGTATGTTGGTTCAAATATTGCCCTCATAATACACTAATTAATATAATTCGTTCCAAAAACCTACGATAACTACTTAATAAATACTATAGATAATTAGACATAGCATTCAAACCAATTAACTTTATAAGAGAGATGTAAAAAGAAGTAAATTACACAGAAATAATCAATAAAAAGTTTTTTTTATTGGCACTTATTGGAGAACGGAGGTAGAGGTGGAGACTGAGATACAGGATGAACCCAAACTTACTCTAACTTTCACTACTGGAACTTTAAACTCACTTATCTTTTTTTAAAAAGTTTTACATTTAATATATTTTTTTCTATGACTTTTGAGGAAAGTTGAATATTTGATAGAATTTCACTTCGGATGATGGAAAGTTTGTGTGTTTATGTGATCGGAAGCAGAGCTTCTGCTTTATAAATGATTCCTTGCTCTTTAAATCACCTTTTGTGTGTTATCTGTGCTGTAAAAACAGGCTCAGATGAGCCTCATGTTTGATTTTGTGATTGCGACGCCTTCAGTATGAGGAACTCCACAAAGTAAAGTCAGATTGGGGAAGTGGGAGATAACACAGAACGTCCATTAAGAGCCTCTCCCCGTCCGCTCACGTCTTTATTCAGCCGTCCAGACAGGTGGATTTATACTAACGATGAACAGCAGGAAGTTTTCCACCAAAAACTAAAATAGAAAAATGTGTTTGAATCTGAGAAAAAAAGTATATTAAAGGAAAAAAAACTAAAAACAAAACAAAGGCACAAACACAAAAAGGCAAATAATGGGAATACATGTTTGGTTTGTTCTGGAGCGGGAATTTACTCACACACACACACACACAAACACACACACACACTGGAGGTGTTTTCACCCCCTCGGCACCGAGCCGTTACTTCAAAATGGCGGCGGCAGAGGTTAATCAGACCACGGCCTTTTCGTCCAAAACAGAACACACTAAGAACGGGAAAACTAAAAGTAAACTTTCTTATTTTACTGGGATCGTCCTCGATCTCACACACACTCGACTATTAGCCCGCCGTGCTACAACCCGGCCTATTTTCCCCAAAAACGATCGTCCTCGGGGGTAAAAAAAAAGGAGATAAAAAAGGAAAAAAAGGCCTCTTTAAAGGGAAATGGAAGCAGAGAGACAGGCTAAACGGCTGGTTCTATTTTCCCAAAAACGAGCGTCCTCTGGGGTCAAAAAAAGGAAAAAAAGCCATCTTTAAAAGGGAAATGGAAGCAGAGACAGGCTAAACGGCTGGTTCTATTTTCCCAAAAACGAGCGTCCTCTAGGGGTAGGACGGTTCACAAAATCCACGGTTCGGTTCGATTCACGGTTTCGTGGTCACGGTTTTGGGTTCGGATCGGTATATGATGATTGTTAGGAAAATCTATTATGTCTTGTATAGTCAGGTTAAAACTGAAAGAAAAACGCAGTCTGACATTTGATACATTATAGTGACAGTCTGAGGTTAAAAGTAGGTGAGATTCTGGCATTGAAAGAGAGGAAA